ACCTTTGCTTCCAATTGAGCAACTAAAGAGGAGAACAGGATTCTCGTGGGAAATATTCATTTGTTATGTGATGTTCAATGAGTTAACCAACGGGCAACCTTTGCTTCCAAGTGAACAAAAGAGGTAAACAGGGTTCTCGTGGGAGATATTCATTTGGTATAGGATGTTCGATTAGCTGTCTATCCTGCAATCTTTGCTTCCAAGTGAGCAACGAAGATAAATAGAGTCCTTATGGAAAACAAGCATTTGGTATGTGATATTCGATTAGCTGAATAACTTGCAACATTTGCTTCTAAGTGAGCAAAAGAGGTGAACAAGATTCTAATGCAAAATATTCATTTGGTATATGATCTAAAATAAACTGTTCCATTCACAACGTTTACTTTGGAATGAGCGAAAAAGGTGAACAGGAACTTCCTGGGAATTATTCATTTGTGCTGTGAGCTTCAATTGATGTAGAAGATATTAAAACCAGTTTTCGAACTTTGCAATGAACACGAGTAAGTTTATATTAAAGTGAATGGTTTCTTGCCGTATTATTTTCTATAAGACTATCGCATGAAAAACCATGCTTTACACTTAGTAAAATATATGAATAAATACAGTATTACACGTATTCACTTTTCATATGGATCCGGACTGCCTCTTCCTCATAAAAATGACACGAAAAAGTGTAATAAATAAGGGAACCAAGCAATCCTAGTTTATATTCGTTATTTTTATAGTCATCAAGTAGTCAGATAACTTCTGTCTTATATTCTACGACAGCAGAATAGGTGATCATAGAAATAATAACAAATATCCATGTACTGCATGGATCTCAATCAGTTGAGTAAAGTGCAATTCTATTCTCTAACCGATCAAGGAATACCGACATCACACTGGCACTTGCACTGTAGACGATAATATTTCTATTTGATCTACAACGAGTCGGTTAAACCAGAAGCATTACGTCCAAGTGGCTCTAAATAGATGAACAGAATTCTGCTGGAAAATATTGATTTACCACGTAATATTCGATAAGTTGACTGACTGGCAACCCTTACTTCCAAGTGAGCAAAAGAGATGAACAGAATCCTAGTGGAAAATATTCATTTGGTATGTGATATCCGAAGAGCTGACTAACTAGCAATCTTTGCTTCAAAGTGAGCAAAAGAGGTGAGCAGAATCCTGCTGGAAAATATTCATTTGGTATGTGATATTCGATTACCTGACTAACTTGCAACCTTTGTTTCCAAGTGAGCAAAAGAGGTGAGCAGAATCCTGATGGAAAATATTCATTTGGTATGTGATGTTGGAAGAGCAGATTACCTGGCAAACTTTGCTTCCAAGTGAGCCAAAGAGGCGAACGAGATCCTCGTGGGAAATATTCATTCGGTATGTGATGCCCGAAGGGCTGATTCACTGGCAAACTTTGCTTTCAAGAAAACCAAAGTAGCAAATGAAGTAGTCATGAAAAATATTCATTTAGCATGTGATGTTCGATGAGGTGAACAACTGGCAATCTTTGCTTTCAAGTGAGTAGAAGAGGTGAACAGGATACTCGTGGGAAATATTCATTTGGTATGCGATTTCGGAACAGCTAATTAAGTCGCAGTCTTTGCTTTTAAGTGAGCAACGAAGGTGAGCAGAATCCTGATGGGAAACATTCATTTGGTAGGTGATGTTTAACGAGCTTATTCACTGAAAATGTTCGCTTTGAAAACAGTAAAAGTGATGAACAGAGCTTTCGTAAGAAATATTTTTTTGATATATAGTGTTCGATCAGCTGACTAATCTGTAATCTTTGCTTCGAAATGAACAAAAGAGGTGAATAGAACATTTTTGAGAGATGTTCATTTGCACATGATGTTCGATTTGTTGACTAACTTGCAAGCTTTGCTTCCAAGGCAGAAAAAGAGGTAAACATAATCCTGGTGAAAATATTCATTTCGTATGTGACGTTCGATGAACACACGAATTCGTAAGTTTTGTGTCAAAATAAACAAAAAAAATTACCAGTACTGTCGTGGAAGATATTCACTATACATATAATCTCCGTCGCATATGAGTTATATCGGTTTTGTCTGGCTTCATTAAAAATAACTAGACAAAGATTTTTATGTTGGTGTGAACACAACAAAGACTTACAATGACTTATATTGTTTTCATTAAAAACCAATCTGCTAGGCCCAACGCTTGCTTTTCAGCAAGCAATATTTGCCGATAATCACTAATCAAAGAAATAAATAAATGTAGTCTTAAAAGAAATAAATAAATGTAGTCTTAAAAGAAATAAATAAATGTAGTCTTAAAAGAAATAAATGCAAACTTTATTTTGGCGACTCGTTACAAAGCTTTAGTATCATATGTCTTTGGAAGGTGTTGTGCAGGAAAAGGACACGCAGGGTAGGTAGGTGAGGATGAGCTAAACAAGTTTAATTCCAAACTACTTGAGACGCGCTTTGTCTCTGTTTAAAGGTCTCATCAGGCAGATTTTGGAATTAGTGTTATCGGCATAAAATATTCGTATCTCAAATTCAAAACAAAGTTATCGAAGTTCAAAGTTAGGATGAGTGTGTGAGTTTCAAATAGAAAACAGGGTGTGAGTGGGTGGATGGGAGTGTGACGCGTGACAATATCACCCACAATGTATTTATTAAAAGTTTTATTTTATTAGTCTTATTATGATTGTATTTATTGATGAAATATTTTATTTCTTAAGTCTTTATAGAAATAATTTGTTTCTTTCTCTGGGGATGTAGATGTCAATGATATACAAATAAATGATATTTAGATTGCTCTATCTTATTACTAAAATCATTTAGATCAATAACTTACTAAAATCAGATTGTTGAAATAGAACGAATTGAGAAAATTGTAATAATCAGCTATTGTATATGTACCACAATACGTATTATTTTCAGTGAATAATTGGTTTGTTAATTGTGTAAAGGTATGTAACTCTTCAATGATCTGTCTTTTCTTACAACTAAAAAAACAATTTAAAGTAAAATATTCAAGAAAAAGAAATCTTATAAAAAAGCAACTCAGTATGATATGAGATACGAACAATTTCAACTAATCTCGAATTCTCGAGAGTACAGATGGACGATGAGAATGATATTCTCATTCACAATATAAAAATTCTTGGGTAGCATCGAAGATTATAAATTGTTTTATTTCTCATATATCTTTTGAATATATAGAACTATATGTTTGAATTTGAGTATAAGTTAAATGGAGCACTAACACATTCACTCATTCATAAAATTACTAATAGAAATTATCTAAATTAATATATAGACATCGATTTTAAATTAATAATATCTTTTTTATCGATGAACTTCATCATTTTCGTCTGTCAGTATTAATAAAACTTAAAAAAATATTTGTTTCATAAAACTAAACATTTCAGACCATCAAAAAATTCTATATTCATTAGAAAATTTATTTGGTAAATAAACACAAGGATTGAACAAAAAATGATAAGAAATCTACATGTAACAAACCTATACCGTTATTGAATTAAGCAAAACAAAACATTATACGTACGTCAAAAAAATAAATTTGTAGAAAATAACATAAATCATTACCAAATATGCATTTGACAAAATATTTTTCATTGATTCATATTAACGAATTACCTGAATAATATCGAAGGTAAAAACGTGGACGGTAATGTGGTGAAAGCATTTAGATCGAAAATAAATATATTAAAAGCAATCAGGCCAAAAATAAGAACATCAAAAAAGGAAAGAATCGAAAAATAAAAACGTCGAAAAGTCAAGATATTGCTAATCAGATTGTCGAAAGTATACCTGTCACAAAGCAAACGTTTCTATAATATAGAATTACATAATTTTCATATTGATATAGACTAATTCGAAAAAAAAAATATCTTGAGTGTTAATGTGAAATGATAACATCACTCACTTCCAAACCACATTCACACTTCTTATTACATTTCTATTACCTGAATATAATATATAAAATTCAATTCGAGATGATGAAAGAAATATTTATTATAATTACAACAAGAAATAAACGAACTAATATAATAATATTAACCCTTTAGAGTAACACTCTTTTCAAAACATTCAAATAAAATAATATCACTAGATACATGATTGGAATTTAATTCTATTGTGTTAATTAACATCTAAAATTATTGATGAAAACTCTTATTTGTTAGATTTGTCATAGTTATAAAGTTCATAATGTATTGTAATAAATCAAAGATGATGGAACTGTTTTAACTCATTGATAATAAAATCAATAGGAATTAATTCTTTTTTTAAATTCGAACAATTACTGAAACTATCAGCCAAAACAAAATCCAAGAGAAATATTTATTAAATAATAATGTAATAAATAGTCAAAAACTAATTCTTATATGAACTATGCATATTATAGATGAAAGTTATATATATGGATTTCTTTTACTAATTTTTATAAGAAAATGTTGCTCTGGCAGACTAGTGTTACCACCAATCCGCACGTTTTCGTCATCGCAACATGTTTTAATCATATTAAGATTATTTACCTCTTGGTAAGTTTGTAATAAGCAATGTAACTCGAAAGTCTGTAGTGCACGACATCTACTATGTCCTTACACATTTTACTTTTTTTTGTGTTCTATCAGTAAAATATTTAAAAAGACAAAATAGATATCGTGCATCACCTACTATCAAGAAAAGTTGCTTATTACAATTTACTAAGAGGTAAATGATCTTAACTGATCAAATATATATGTTGCAATGACGAAAATATGCAGATTAATGATAACATTAATTTGCCAGAGCAACATTTTTTTTTAAACAAAGACTAAAACTATAATATGATTGTCTGTATATCTATTTTGATTCATCACAAACATCATGGAATCTATATTATAGCATAATATTAATTAAATGCAAAGTAAAGAGTTTAATTACTGGAAAAATTAATTTGTAAGAAAATAAAACTTATATAGATGACTATTAATTCTTAGCTGTTTCAGTAGGATCAACTTGTAATATCTGTTTTTATCAATTTTAAAATCACTAAGACAACGCTATATTGTCCCAATATGAAAGTGTAGCTGAATGATGATTAAATCCATTTTCTATGTGTAATATTCATTGAAAGATAATATTATAATAATTATCAATTATAGAAGAATTCAAATCAATTATGTTGTATTTTTTAATTTTACTCGAAAACATAAGAATAACTTGAATAGTCTAGAATATATATGTGAATGCTTATTGGAATTATTTATCTATTTTTATGGTCTATTCTAATTGATGTAGATCTTTACTAAAGTAAATATTTTTCTTATTTAAGTTATTCATACTTAACAATTAATGCAATCAGTGAAATCAAACAAGAAGATGTATTAGGCTTACATATGAATATTCTACAGCTTTGATAAAAAAAAGTACAGTAAATAATTTTCTTGTTATTTACGATCTATATTTGTTTCAGTTGAAATTCAACTTCATTTTTAAACTGATCGAGAACGTGTTTCTTGAATTAAATTATTTTTATCGAAATTAAAAATTTTCTTTTTTTTGAAGTAACATAAAAAAAAGTAATGAAACATCAGGTATGTCATTTATCTTAAGTTCACATGAAGAAAATACAAGAAGTAGCTCATATTTTATTTATTTCGAGTGTCGGTTTGGGTGGAGGATGTGCGTGTAGTTGTTGGCAGTATAAATATAATACAGTTCTCTTGAATGATCATCTGGAAAGTCTTTTATTTCAATTTAAACAAAAAAGTCGAAAGTTCATCTTCTTCAACGAGATAACTACAATTATCCGCGACTACATTTAAATGTCTCCACGCAATTGTTCTCATCGTTAAATTGAGGTCTTTGGCATGTTCTCCGATTTCGTCACCATTTTACGACTATCGGACAAATGCAGCAGCTCTAAAATATGAAAGTATGAATATATTTTGATAAATATGACTTTACCAGTAGAATAGCGATACAAACGCCAACAACAATCACGAAAATAACTACAGCAACAAGAGCACAAACGGCTGCAACACCGACTAATCCAAGAAAAATTAATACCATGTATTCGAACTAAAAGATTGATCAAATAAAATTTATTAATTGATATATATATCAAAACAAAGTGACGATTTTCTAGCGTCAAGTCGAAAAAAAATAAGTGCTATACAATAGATTTTTCGTTTCTAACTATACTACATGTACAAGACTAAATGTGTATAGAGAAAAAAGTGAAAATAGAACAAGATGTAAGACACTTTTTCTTTCTTGATGACCTATTTAAATCTCTATTATAAATGACTCATCATCATCATCATTATCGACAACGGTGATATGTTATATCTCCAAACCGTACGCGAAGAAATACAGAATAATACGAAAGCCATAGAAAAACTTCGTGTGTCAATAAATGATCGTATTTCTGTGTGTCCAATAGCAATACTTGCGGGAAATATGATAACAACAAAACAGAGGCGCCCCGATGACTACAAACCAAGAGATCATACAATTTATCCAATAAAAATAAGTCATGTTCTGCAGAATATAAGAAGATGGACGTAAGTCAGAGTGTAGAGAATACTCACATCCTCAATATTAGCTGAAAATAAAATCATCAATAGAGTTTTATTTTAATTTTCTTACAACATTTTAATAAAATATCGATATGAATATAATATATTAAAAACATTTTCAGAATGTTTCTTGTTTTAGTTATTGATCAAGATAATATGTAGAATTCGAAAATATTATAAAATTGTATTTCTTCATATTTGTGCAGTAAAATTATTGCTCTTTTTTTTGTTAAAAATACTTTTACCTGAAATATATTATCAACTACTTATACTGAGTATATGCAGAAATGTTTTTTTTATAATTCTAGCAGCTTTAATATATTCTCTATTATATATATATTTGATATTATATGTAAGAACAAAAAGAGATAGATTATTCATAAAGAACATTTTATGTTGGCCAGATTTCAAAATTTTAGACATCAACTCTATCTTTACTATTCTTAAATTACTGTATGTTATTTCATGTTCGATGCTATAACCAAAATTTATAAAACCGAGAAGTATCACTCATTAACTTCTTTTCTTGGATGTCCTATGTAAATAACCCCAGATATGTTATTATTATAGTAATCTATCAGTAACACCTTTAACAAAAATGTTTGGTGCTGTACCAAGTAACCTTGATAAACCACCAATTGTTGCTGAATATACAACAGCTAGAAGAAAATCTATGAAAACAAAATTTCATACATTTGATTTATTCAAGTTCTAAAAATACCTTTCTTTATATTGTTATATTTTTTATCTTCGGATGTTGTCATTATAAGACGATCTGATTTTTTCTATGGTAATTGAAAACGTTGCTTTAATGTTACACGATTTTTTGGTTCTCTAAATAATTGAAATAAAAAGTTAAGAATTTTATTTTAGTTTATTTCATATACGGCTCTTCTATATCTAATGGATTTAAAACAACTCCTTTTACGACATGTCCATTGGATGATTCAATTTCAGTTAGATCAAATGTTTTTATAAAAAGTTTGGAAATTTTTTCCGGTTTTTTCCCTTCAAAATCATTTATTTACCATTTACTACAGCTGTAGCTTCTTTAGCACCATTTTTCTTTTCATGATATCCTTTAGTATGACTTTCAAGTTCATTAGTTATTGCTAATGCAACCCGTAACATAATTGATGTTGCTGCTGAATTACTAATCCACATTAAACACTAATAAATACCATTTTGTTGAAGTTTCAACAAGGCTTAAAACAAATAATGCAATTCGTCGATGAAGATTAACAGATTCAACAGCAAAAGCTAGTGTCATACTTCCAAAGAAAAGTGTTAACTATTATATATTTAAAACAATGTGATGCAACAGTTTCAGCAGGTAAAATATCAGCCTAAACTTATATATATATCTTAATAAAATATCATGAAAGAAAATATATTTTCTTCGACCATTGAAAAAAGAGCTAATGGTATTGCTTCGAAAACCCAATAGATAGTTAAAATAGACACAATATAACCACATCGTGCTTGCTAAATGTAAAATTATTAGAGAAGAAAACAAAACTATTTAACATACAGATGATTTACGAACAAGTGGTATTGGAAGAAGAACCAATGGTGTTAACAGAACAATTAATAAATGCCACCGTGGTTTACACCAATTTATTATGCGGATCATTATTATAAATTTGGTTAGGAATAGATTTTTCAAACACTTGTTTTATATGAAAGAGTAATAATGGAAGAGGAAAAAAGAATCTTACTACTGATTAAAAATATGTGATTTCATTCCTATACGATATTTAACCAAATCTACTCTAATCAATTTACGTCGAATATAACCTTCAGACCATGATATAATTACAAATCTGAAAATAATCGTGAGATTATCACGTACATCAGGCACGTGAAAAATAAATAAAAATTCCCTGTTACATTTCTTACATGATTATAGCAATGAGCAGTTCATAACATTCACAATATGGAATAACTGAAACAATGAATAAGGAAAGTTGTTTCACTTCACCCTCAAGTCATACATATCAAGAAGAAATGAAAATAATTTCTATATAGACATATACATATACCTGAACAGGCATTCCTCTCGAGTTATTCTAAACTTTAAATAATAAATGAAAACAAATAATTACACATAAATCGATTATTTTCATGACAATTTTGCATAATTTTCTTTGTATGGATTGTTGTGATGTATTTCAATGAAGGCAATGTGTTTGTAAAAGAAACGTATTCCTTTCTGACTTCATATGATTGACACATTTCTGCTTGAGTTCACACAATTTCTCTTTGATAGGAGAATAGGATACGGCCGGCAAAACGTTTCATTCGTATCATTAAATCATACGTATTTTTTGATATTTTTCATTCATCTTTCCCTTTTGATTCTAATAAAAAAGTCAAAAGAAATAAACCATTCTCTTTATTTTTGTTATCTAAATGGTACAAACCAAATGAACAGAATTAAATCAAGTGTCAGACACAAATCTAAAGTCATTATTTTTCTATTATTCTTTCTAAACAATAACATCTCATTAATTTAGTTAAAAATATCTAATACGTTTAAGAAATTCGTTATCTTAAAAATTCATGATTTATAATTGTATTTCTTTAACATGAATGATATTATAAATTTTAGTTTTTGTTGAATAAATATATTCCTAACTCGATATTATAATGTAAGTTGAAAGAATTATTTACCTATAATATTGATTTGTAAATAAAATCATATTATTATTCTTTTCGGTTGAAGAAAGTTAGTTGATATTTATTTTCCATACTCTTTATTTATTTATTTATTTAAAAACAAGTTAGCTTTCGTAATACATTGCATTTCTTCATCAAACATGTTTCTACTGTACATAATATTCGACGCATTTACATGTACATTTGATAAAGAAATAGTGTCTTTGTTCTTCTTTTGTTGAACATTAAATAGTGATACAAGACAGATCTATAACTCGACTTAGTCAGTCTTAATCAAATGTATATATAAATGCGTAGAATATTATGTACAGTCGAAAAATATTTGATAAATAAAGGAAGAGTATGGAAAATATCATCGGTATTATGTTGCTAGAACTGGATTCATGATTTTGACTTGTTATACCTCTTTAATTTTATTATTGATTTATTTACAGTTAATAAAACTCTAATTTAAAGCTTTATGGTTGTGTAGAGATTAAAAGCAATCGACAATTTATTTTCTCTTTTTTTTGTCTATAAATGCTTTAGAAGTAGATTTAAACGACTTTTTACATATAATATTCTCAGTTTTTTTAGGCTCTATCAAACATTAAATTTACTATTTTTGAACCTTTAATGATATCATATTACTCCTACGCGACAGGTAGGAAGAAAATATCAATTAGATTTACCTCTATGAAAAAATATCTGAAATCTTTGCCTTTTACATAGTGTTGCCCACGTTTATTTACAATATGAAAGAAATAGATAGAATAGGTGATAGAGGTAAAATCAATGAAGCAAAGAATATTAATCAACCATTCGTAATAGCAATACATATAGACCCACAATACGCGCTTCACCTGTCATAATAATTTATATATGAAAAGAATATGAGCGATAAAGAGCCACTATTAAAACAATATAACACATTACATAGTAACAATGATAGCGGTAATCAAAATAAAAGGTATGATTTATAAAAAAATATAATATTGATAAATACATAACGAATTTATCATTATTTATAGTTTTTCTGATTGGCGTCAATATTTCAATCAGCAAAAGACTGATACTAGGGATAAAAAGTCAAATGGTGAGATCAAACATACTACTAAAGATATCCCAGTCAGCCTTTTTCAATTGGTAAGTATATTCAAACATGAAATATCATATGAGAAAGTAATAAAAATACTAATTTCTTTTTAATATATGTATATATATGTCCCAAGAAAAATTTAATTTTTTTTTTGTTTTTTTGGTCGGGCAAATTAGTGACAATTGATAAGAAAAATACCGTATCAATTGATCAAGAGAAACTTATTTTAAAATATTTTATTGAGTGGAAACGATAAAACTTACTCAATGAGATAAAAATAATCATTCTACTCACCTCACTCATGAAAAAAAAAACTTTATGATCTTCTTTAAAATAAATGTCGTTATATTTTGTTTTATACATCTGTCGTACTCTACATCTTCCAAAAGCTATATTCAATTTTTATCGAATAAAATCATTTTAAAATTAAGTTTAATTTTGCCTGACACATATATATGAATTATTTCTTTTCATTTAATAATAGTTTCGATTTGCTGAACGTATTGATATTCTTCTTTTAATTCTTGGTCTGTGCTTCATGTTAGGGCATGTAGTTGGTGCTGTCTCGAATGTACTTCTTTTTGGTCGAATCACGGGATTATTTGCCACTACATCATTTGCTGTTGATTGTGATAATCAATATCAAAATTTAGAATCTGGAATTATCAATAATACTATATGTCCTTTTGGTATTGAACTTAATCCATTAAATTATGATCGATTACATAAGTAATTTATTGAAAAATATTCTTATTTTGAATCTTTTGAAACTTTTCATTTGTAGGCTATGCCATTATGATAATAAAATTATTTCATCCACATTAGCTCCATTAATACCTTTATTTCATGAAAATATGATGCATCTAGTTTATTGCTTTTTCGGTAAGTCTGTTGAACAGGATGATTTCAATTAAAAAAAAATAAACGATTTATTGTTTCTCTATATCAATGTAGGTTTCAGTATTCTTACATATGTAAGTGCTTCTCTTGAATATTTCTGTTGGACAGTTGCTACGAAACGGCAGACATCCCGTATGAGTGCTTTACTATTACGATCACTTATTCAACGAGTGAGTAAAAATATTTTTTTACACTCATAAAATACTTTATAATTTGTGAACATATGTCAGTATTGAATAGTATCAAATTTGTACTAGATGACTTAAATTCAGTGGAGATCTGCATTGTAAATGTTTTATTTCTTCGAAGACGGTTATATATTGAAAAGTAACTAAAATACAGTTTATTCTATTTATTTCACTTGTTCCGTGTCAAACATAAAACAAAATAAGTAGATCATTTGAATGTCGATTTCTAATTTTCTGTTTTCAAAATATTTCTCTAATCAACAAACTGATAATTCTAAAAACATCGTTAATATATCAATTAAATTATGATGTAAGATAAAATAATGTATTATTTCTCTTTCATTCTTTAGAACATGACTTACTTGGATACAAATCAAACTACTCAATACAATACGACGCTTTTTACGTAAGTAAATATAATAACTTTATAACAAACAATTCTATATGATCGATTTTCTTGACAGTAATATTGAAAAGATCAAAAACGGAATAGGCTTTGAATTCTTAATGCCAATTGCAGTTAGTCTACACGTGATTGTCAGTATAATCGTATCTTTTATTATCAATTGGCAATTGTCTTTAATTATGTCTTGTATAATTCCAATTGTTTGTGGTAGCTCATTGATGTTTGCTAAGGTATAAAGTTTTTCTTTAATTCGCTAAAACTCTATCGATAATTTCAGGTCGTCACTAGAGAAACAAAAGAACAGTTACGTACATATTCAAAAGCTGGACAAATCGCTCAAGAAGTGTTTAGTTCATTAAGGACTGTTCTTTCATTCAATGGAAGCCAATCGCAACAAAAAAAGTAAAGAAAGAAAAAAAGATTTGTAAATTATTGTATATTATTTTATTGTCGTATTTCTTGTATCTAGATATGAAAAAGAATTAAAATTAAATGAATGGCATACCGTTCGCAAAGATGCTGCATTTGGTGTTTTTACTGGTTGGTTATTTTTTATAAACTTTGCAGTTTATTCAATTGGTTTTACTTTTGGTGCCATTCTTATGTCTTATGGAAATCATCCTACAGTAACCATTAGTGAAATTCTTGTTGTAAGTGAGATATAATATCAATATGCAAGGAAGTAACTAAAAATTGAACTTTCGTTTAGGTTGTAAGTATGTTTGCACAAGGTATAAATCTGTTTAATCAAATCGGACCTTTCTTCCAATCAATTTCCGAAGCTCAAGGTGCAGCGGTATCTGTATTTCGACTTATTGATGAGGTAAAATCGATTGAATACTAGATACGAAATCTTGGTAATAATATTTTTTATTTTATGATATAGGCACATGATGAAAATCTGAATGAAAGAGAAATATTGGAAGAAAACATATCTGATGAAAGATCTATTCCAAATATCAATGGTGATATTGAATTTGACAATGTTAGTTTTTCTTATCCATCTAGAGAAAATGTAACAACTTTGAATAATCTTAAATTGATTGCTCGTGCTAATCAAACAACTGCTCTTGTAGGTTCAAGTGGTTGTGGTAAATCTTTTTTTCTGAAGCAAAGCTAATATTTTAATATTGAAATTCATTGATAGGAAAAAGTACATGTGTATCACTTCTTCTTCGCTATTATGAACCTTCTTCAGGCAGAATTATGATTGATGGTCAATCAATTACAAATCATAAAATCAAACAATTTCGTCAAAATATTGGAGTTGTCAGTCAAGAACCTGTAGGTTATTTTTATTTTCTTTTTTAGTCTCTGTCGAATTTTTATATTGAAATAGATTCTATTTGGATTAAGTATTTATGAAAATATTCGTTTTGGTAAATTGAATGCAACACGTGCAGAGATTGAACATGCTGCAGAACAAGCCAATGCACATAAATTCATTATGAAATTACCAAATGTTTGTTTTTAAATATTCATCTTCATCTATATGTATATAAATTAATATTTATATTTATAGAAATATGAAACACTTGTTGGTGAACGTGGTATACAATTGAGTGGTGGTGAAAAACAACGTATTGCATTGGCTCGTGCACTTGTCAAGCAACCCAGCATTCTTTTGTTAGATGAAGCAACAAGTGCACTTGATAATGTTAGTGAAAGAATTGTTCAAGAAGCACTGGATCGAGCATGCAAAAGTAAGAATTATTTAATTATTATTGATCATATTATTATTAATATATATATACAGATCGTACAACTATAGTTATTGCTCATCGTTTGACTACGATTCAAAACGCTGATTATATCTA